TTGGCCCACTGAAGGAGTGATGCTCTTGCTTTAACAATCTTTTCAGCACTCCCGAAGGTCATTTCCTGTTCTTGGGCTGATATACAACTACGCTGAGAGAAGCCCATGCAAGGACTCCTGCTTGTGCAATGGGGCTTTCCCCTCTTTCCTTTGCCCACATGTCCTTGCACCACTTTGGAAGGTTGGGAGAGCCCCCAGAACAGGATGTAGAGGGAGGGGAGAGGAGATAGTTGCATTGGGCAAACAACATTGCTTGAGCTGACATAACAATCTCCTTAGTGTTATGTTGAATTCCACCCTAAGTGAAGTCCCACTGAAATGAATTTGCAAGATCTACACACACACACACACACACACACACACTCTTTGAATATTTGAAACATGTCATAAAAATTTAAAAGCACATTGGAGATTTCCAGTGGATTGTCCTCTAAGGAACAAGTCCTAGGATGTAAAAGCTAGCAATTCTTTGCAAATGAGATTTCAGTTGAGTTTTCCCAAAGCTGAAAGGAAGTGACACAAGACCCATAACTCTGCTTTTTCTGAAGCCAAGTACCTCTTTATATGCGAGTAACCATGAAGGACAGCACAACTGCCATGTTGTGAACAAAGCTCACACTAGCATTTTGCAAGTGGACATGGCCAGGAAAATAGCTTAGCACCTAATCAGTAGACTATGAGCCAGGAAGAGAAGTCCATTTATATGTTCCACATGACAGGCCAGGAAGGCCTTAGCAATGAATCAACCCACCAACCTGGCAGTGCTGTTGCTACACTGACCAGTAATGATGTATAAAGCACCCACTCTTTCAGGTTCTGCAATGCAGAACAATAGAATCATTTGCTGTGTATTTTAGAAAGTTGTTGGTTCGTAGTGACAGTTTGGACACCTCTTAAGATATCGTAGCCAACTTTCCATGATGGTTCCTGAGATGAAGCTGCAGGATTTTCTCTATGTTTGGATGCAATTGGATGCCATTTTGAACCAAGATGGTGGACCAGGGCTGCTAGGTCAGGAGCATTTTAGACTCTCAGAGTTCAAGTCCCAAACTTGAGACCTACAGATGTCTGAGGATGTCACCGGGTGGTGATGTCATGGGAGGCAGGTCCTGGTGATATCAAACCAGCTTATATTTGTAAATAAATGGTGTTCTAAAGTTACCTAGCTGTAGTGTCCATTCTATCTTTTTCTTCAAAAAAAAGTTTTGAAATTCATCCTCTGAAAAATAGTCGAGCTGCCTCCCTGCTTTCTCAGCCTCCAATTGGTGCTGCAAAGTGGGTGTTGTTTTTTGCCGGCCCTTGGCGGACTCTAGACACATATTAAAAACACTGTAAAAATGCTTCTTTAAAGCGTTTTGAAAAAGATATTGAATTTGCCATAAGCTCACCATCACCATCGGGTGTTGCCTTTGTATAGTGCACTTAAAATACACGTAAAACGTTCTATTTGCAGCTGTGTAGCTGTATAGCCAAGGCACTCTCAGCACAGAAATCTGGAACATTATTACAGAATATGAATTTCTCTAGTACAAGCTCTGGAGTTGCCACATTCTTGAGGATTTTGGGGTGGGCAAAGAGGCATGATCTGGTCTCATGTCTCTCGGATCTGCAGAAAAAGAGAAGAACAATACTTGGGGGCAGAGTAAATCAATCCCATTTGTTTGAGCTTCCCACCCTCTATGGCTCTTGTTTATGGTCTCAAACAGGGATGGGGAGGGTTGAAACTGGAAAAGATCACAGCTTGTTTCACTGTCACTTACCACAGTGGGGAAATGCAAAACATTCAGATGAGTGGGATCAAAGGAAGTTTGCATTAAATCACTTATTGCCTATCATGGGAACTTTGAGAGTCATTATCAAATCAAGCTCCCAAACTCTTGTAATCTGAATGGCTGGGAATCTGAATGCCTAGTCGACTAAAGGTTTCACAGAATTGATAGATAATGTAGCAAAACAAGAAAGCTGGTATGTATTAGGGGGGTGCATTGACTCTGTGTGTGGACAAAACAAGTAGGCGAATCAGGATGATTTGGGGATCTCCCCGCACTCCCAAGTCAAAATGTGATGTCAGTATACTGAATTGGATTGCTCCCACCCCACAAGCCTTGTGCTGCTCCATTGAGTTGCTCCTGATTTTTCTGTACTGTATGCGCTCTATAGCTATATATTTTCCTAGGTCTCTGGGCTCTCCAAAAAGTGACTCTGTTCAAAATGTAGGCTGTGTAACACTGAAGAAGTCTGGATTGATTGATTTTTTGTAAAATCATAGCAGTGGAGCAGATTTTTTTTTTTAAAAAACAACAACTTAAAAGCATCAGTTAACTTTTTCCCTTAATGCTGCATTGTTCTGCTTTAACAAAACAAACAAATGCACAAACAAATTTGACATTCTGCAGAACTTCATAGGCAGCATTCTAGACTGTCTCCCATGGTAAGGACCCACTGGGGACATGCCAAGGTCTATATGGCTGTAAGGCCTATAGGAGAATGCAAACAACCACCAGGAAAAAAGGCTCCTGTGAAGCTGCAAACTTTTTTTTTTTTAAAGTACAAACAATAATTTGCATTACCTGGCTACCTCTTAACTATTTTAAGTGTGAAACAGACAAATCCTTGTTCCCACCCCATAAGGGACTGTGGAAGTAAGTGAAACCCTTTTACTTCCCCCACAGAAAGCCCCTGGACCTATTTGTCTGCAATTTGCCACTCTGGAGGGGCTTCTTTGACTGTAAATTTCATTCCCTGTCCTAATGAATGAGGACCAGGGAGCTTTGTTTTGTACAGAGAGGATCAGAAAGCTGCAACATAGATTGAAGTGAGGACTGTACCTAACAACTCAGAAACAGATCAGAATTTACAAAACCATGCAGATACAAGGTAAATCTTTGGGTCCAAACATATCCCAAGTACAGTGGTACCTCTGGTTACGTACTTAATTCGTTCCGGAGGTCCGTTCTTAACCTGAAACTGTTCTTAACCTGAAGCACCACTTTAGCTAATGGGGCCTCCTGCTGCTGCCGCACCGCTGGAGCACAATTTCTGTTCTCATCCTGAAGCAAAGTTCTTAACCTGAAGACTATTTTTGGGTTAGCGGAGTCTGTAACCTGAAGCGTATGTAACCTGAAGCGTATGTAACCCGAGGTACCACTGTACTTTTAAAAATTCTGAAAGTCAGGTAGGCAGATTTGGGTTGAATATTAGGAAGAACAGCTGAAACTAATCACAGGAGCAAACTGCTTGACTACTTTTGCCAGAGATGTCCACAAAAAGGAGTTGGAAGAAATATACACAGTTAATGTAAGGAGTATAGCACATCTGATCCCTGAAACCCACAGGACATTATGATTTTACCCTGTGCTGGTCCTCTGACTCTATATATCTCAGAGTCCCCTGCAATTGCTTAAAAGTGAGGAAAGGGAGTTACAGATGCAGTCAGACATCTTCTGCACCACAGCTGTTTTAGCATGCAACAGTCAGAGGTGTTCTTGATGCCTGAATTTGTTTAAAATGCAAGTAAAGGTAAAGGGACCCCTGACCATTAGGTCCAGTCGTGACTGACTCTGGGGTTGCGGCGCTCATCTCGCTTTACTGGCCGAGGGAGCCAGCGTACAGCTTCCGGGTCATGTGGCCAGCATGACTAAGCCGCTTCTGGTGAACCAGCGCAGCACACGGAAACGCCGTTTACCTTCCCGCCAGGGCGGTACCTATTTATCTACTTGCACTTTGACATGCTTTTGAACTGCTAGGTTGGCAGGAGCAGGGACCGGGGAGCAACAGGAGCGGGGATTCAAACCGCCGACCTTCTGATCAGCAAGTCCTAGGCTCTGTGGTTTAACCCACAGCGCCACCCGCGTCCCAATGCAAGTAGAGAGCAGTAATTTTTTTTCGTATTCACGGCAATGGAGCGGTGATCTTGCATGAGTTCTCTTTTCTGATGTTACACTGCTTATGCACGTAATCCACTTGCATGAGCGCTTCCTCACAAGGGGAAGCCAGTGATGTCTGAACTGGCTCTTTCTTTGAGAGCTTTGTATATTTTGGGCCAAAACCTCTGCTTTGAACGTGCAGTTTTGAAAGGGGAAATAGTGCGCAACAGCGAGAATTCAGCTCCTCTGTTCACATTACATTTCTCTCCCTTCCCATTTCTTCAAAGGATTTCCCTGCTAAGAACCATCACCCCGTTTATTGCACATCCCCACCGACTCTCTGATAACCTGGGAACATCTGCTGCACATCTGTATCACTGACAAATGAAATGTGGCAGAGATGAAAGTGGGGAAGGTTGGGGTTCATTGCCCTATTACATGATAATTGCACACAAGTTTCTTTTAAGCCTCTTTCTCGCAGCAGTAGGTGCTTCATGTGGCCAAATGTGCCTGGCATGCTATGTGTGCCTCAAGAGATGAAAGGGACCCCGCAGACAGGTAGAGCATCCTCGGCTGGGCTTCCTTTCTGAAGGGCTCCTGTTTTTATCCTCTTTGCCAAGACAGAGGCCCTTTGGCATCCTCTCCCCTGCATGCTTTGTGAAAGAATTTGCAAGAGGGGAGTGGAGGGGGGAAATGGCTGGCTAGAAATAGAATTATTTATTGAATTTAGTTATTATTTATTGAATTTATAGCCCACCATTCCTCTCCAAAGAGCCTAGGGTGGCAAACATCTATCTGTCTATCTATCATCTATCTATCTATCTATCTATCTATCTATCTATCTATCTATCTATCTAACTAACTAACTATCTAAGCAAAAACATTATAAAACAGATATATACATTTTTTTTAAAAAAAATTAAAATTAAAAACATCTAAAACCAGTTACAGGGGGGAAAAAAATTCTAAAAGCAATTACAATTAAAACCACTCTTTCATTCAATGATTTGAACACTTCCAAGAACAGTATTCTTCAGCCACCAAATGCCTTGGAAAGTTTTTGCTTATACTTTGTCAAACCAGTAGCCCATCTAGCTCAATTTTTCTCTACACTGACTGGCAGCAGCTCCCCAGTGTTTCAGGCAGGAGTTTCTTCCAGCTCTAGCTGGAACCTGGGACCTTCTGCAAGCAAAGCAGATGCTGTACCGCTGAGCTACAGCCCTTTCTCACACAGACTTGCTTGTGGTGTCAGTTTGTGAACAAGTGATATTGATGAAAAGTGAGAATGAAGGTGAATTTACAGCAGTGTGGGACAGTGACATCAACATGTATAACAGAGGATGGGGAAGCTGTATGGTCCATAAGGTCTGATCTCTCTCCCTCCATCACCCATGGGCAACTTTGTCAGGTGGGCAGGGTCAACTACCTGCCAGTCACCTGACATTATAATGATGCCGGGTGACTGATAGGAAGGCATTTCCACCAGGAAGATACTGGCAAATTCTCTACTCATTAGCTGCTAGGTGTAGATCTCTCTGTAGGGATCTGAGCAGGATGTAATTCCCTGCCCATCAGCTAACTGGCAGCAAAACAACTGATTGAAAAACTGAATAAACAGTTAATAGTGGAAAAAGTCCAGTGTCACTGGCTTATTTCCACATTATTGTTCCCACTGCAATGTCATAAAAGAAAACCTCCTCAGAGTAACTGAGCACATGCAGTTTAATAGAGGAGAAATATGCATTTCATACAAGTCAGGCTTTCACAATAGACTTGTCATCAATTTCTTTTTTCAGAAGGCCTTCCAGATCTCTGTCTCCAAGTCCCATGCTTTTTCCAGTATGGATGCCAACAGACAACAACAGCATAGGAAGCTGCCCTATTGTACAGTGGTCCCTCGGGTTACAGATGCTTCAGGTTACAGACGCTTCAGGTTACAGACTCTGCTAACCCAGAAATAGTACCTCGGGTTAAGAACTTTGCTTCAGGATGAGAACAGAAATCACGCAGTGGCGGTGTGGCGGCAGCGGGAGGCCCCATTAGCTAAAGTGGTGCTTCAGGTTAAGAACAGCTTCAGGTTAAGAACGGACCTATGGAATGAATTAAGTTCTTAAGCCAAGGTACCACTGTACTGAGTCAAACCACTGGTCTATGTAGCTCAGTACTGTCTACGTTGAATGGCAATGACTCTCTGTGGTTTCAGATTGAGATCTTTCCCAGCCCAACTGGAGATACCAAGGATTAAACCTGAGACCTTCTGCATGTTGAGCAGATGCTGTACCACTAAGCTACTGCCCTTGCCCATGCAGCTGTGCTGGTCCCGGGGGTTAATCAAGAGGCAAGGTCCAAGTCCAGTCCGTGGTCAATGAAGCAATATGAAGGCAGTCTGTAAGTCAAAGCTGGGTGCAGGGCAGGGGTCAGGCAGGAACTGACAACTACCAACGTTGCTTCTGCAACTTGGGACTGGGGCTGGCTGGCTTTTATCTGTCCCGAGGCATAGGGCAGCCCTGATCCTCAGGTGACTCGCCTCTCCTGGCCTGCAGGCGAGCACTCCTCCTTAGTTCCCTCTGCCTCTCTGCCCTGAGCCTCTGCAGCCCAGGAGAGGCTGGAGGGTTATCGGACCCAGAGGCAACCTCAGCTTCCTCTGACGGGGCTGAGAGCGGAGCACCTGCAGGCAATGGGTCCTCCATCACCTCAGGGGCCAGAGCAGACTCAGCTGGTGCCTGCACCTGAGGATCCAGCACAGGTGAGGACCCTTCAGGCTCATGCCCCAGCCCCGGCTCAGCTGGTTCTGGAGGCGGGGAATCCTGTGCAGGCTGGGATTCCTCAGGTTCAGCATCCGACACTGAATCCCAGGCCATCACAGCAGCTGATTTTGATCATCCAAGCATATGTCACAGTTGGAGCAAGGTATATGGGACATGTGCATTGACAGTGACCAAAAATAGATTCATAGAACTGTAGGGTTGGGTGGGGCACCAAGGGGCATCTCATCCAGCCCCCACAATGCAGGAAACACAGCTGAAGACAAATGGCTATCCAACACCTGTTTAAAAAACCCCAATGAAGGAGAGCCCCCTTCTGGTTAGTCTATTCCGCTGGTGAACAGCTCTTACTGTCAGGATGCTCTTCCTAATATTTAGTGGAAATCTCCTTTCTTGCAACTCGAATCCATTTGTTCAGGTCCCTCCAGAGCAGGAGAAAACAAGCTCGCTCAGTCTTCCATGTGGAAGCTCTTCAGATATTTGAAGATGGCTATTATATCACCTCACATTCTTCCCTTCTCCAAATCTGTGTTTAACTGACATTGCTGGATGAAAGCTATCACAGTTATGAGCCCGGGCAAACATCTCCCCCATCCCAGCCTAATTCAAAGCCTTTTGGGGATTCTGCTTTGCCAACCCACATTTCTCTGCTCTTCTGCCAAACATCTCATAGCTGTCCAGCTACTGGGGAAGAAAACTCCTCCGTTAGATACGATTTATCTGCATTCATGTGTGATCTCCAACATTTGTTCTCACAAACCATATCTTAGTTAGGCAATTTTTCAGGTGTGGGGTAAGCTAGAAGGAGATAGTGAAAGTCTGTGAAGTAGAAAGGGTGGTTGATAAAGAAGTAAAGGTAGCAACGAAAAAACTTCCAACATACGAAGGGTCATCTAGTCCAACCTCCTGCAATGCAAGAATCTTTTGCCCAACGTGGGGCTTGAACCCATGATCCTGAGATTAAGAAGGTCCTTGCACTGGCTTCCCCTGGTGGGACCAGATAGTTGAATTTGACCCCAAAAGCCCACCCGTTACTCAGATCTGTCCCATAGTTCTATGGAGATGCAATGTACAAACACAAGAACAAAGTGACTTATTCGCAACACCAGGTACTTGTGATGATACAGGATTTATTGCTATGTTAATTTAGCACCTTAAGAGGACGTGCTACTTGCACATTCACAATTGGGTCCATTTCCTGCACCAGCTCCAGGCTGGCACAGCTGTCAGGTCTGGATCCAGCCCAAAGTTAGAAGCTGATGCTGCATCCAGATCTGAGCCAACTCAGTGCTTCCTTCTCCCTGCCCTCACCCTGTTTCAGAACTTCCTGCTGCCAGGGAGACTGCCAGTGGATCTCTCACCCACCTGTGCATGAGTGCATCTCCCACCCACTGAATGTCAGCCTATCATAAGGGTGGTGGTGGTTGGGATTGCTCTGCTAGTTATCTAGAGCCAGTGTGGTGCAGTGGTTAAGAGTGGTGGACTCGTAATCTGGTGAACCGGGTTCGCATCCCCGCTCCTCCACATGCAGCTGCTGGGTGACCTTGGGCCAGTCACACTTCTTTGAAGTCTCTCAGCCCCACTCACCTCAAAGAGTGTTTGTTGTGGAGGAGGAAGGGAAAAGGAGATTGTTAGCCACTTTGAGACTCCTTAGGTTAGTGATAAAATGGGATATCAAATCCAAACTCTTCTTCTTATTTCACTTGCGGTTGCAAAACTGGAAATGGTTTGACACTGAAAAGCTAAAGTATGGTTATGAAGCCCAGGTGGCAGCTAGTTCTGGAAGAACACATCAAAACAGATTGGCAAGAAGGATGGTTAAACAGGACGATTTCCTCAAAATGTGATTTCTATTCTTCATCAATGTTCAGAAAGAAGGTCCCAAACTGCACCTCTAGCAGCACATGCCTCTTTCTGGAGTGACGTTCTTAGCTGAAAATTGTAGACTCTAACGCAATACAGCTATCGCCTGTAATTATTCATTTCTATGCATGCGGGAAAACAGCAGACCACCCTTGTCATGGTGTCATGTTTTTATTATTTATTGTTTGTAGATCATATACATCTTTGAAGCACATGCTTGTAAAGTTTTATAAAAACACAAAAAGAACGAGTGTCATTGTTTCTCTTAGGGAACTATTTTGTGACTGTTCCCCGGGGAGTTTGTGACTGTGCTTATATGCTAGAGACGGAAAGAGCTTCTGGAATGTATGGTTCTGACTCTGCTTCATGGTAAAGGTAAAGGCACCCTGAGCGGTTAAGTTCAGTCAAATTCGACTATGGGGTACAGCGCTCATCTCTGCTTTCAGGCCCAGGGAGCCGGGGTTTTCCACAGACAGCCTTTTCTGGGTCATGTGGCCAGCATGACTAAACTGCTTCTGGTGCAATGGAACACTGTGACAGAAGCCAGAGTGCACGGAAACTCTGTTTACCTTCTGGCTGCAGAATTTATCTACCCACACTGGTATGCTTCCAAACGGCTAGGTTGGCATTGACTGCTTCATGAGTCAATGTTGAGTTCAGCATGCTTTCACCCTCACCTCTGGAAGAATCAGTCAGGTAAGATGCACACTCAGTGGAAAGAGATTGACAGCGCCTGCATTCTTCAGAATTTCTCAAAGACCTAGGAAGAAAAGGACACCCAGTTGGGAGGAGGATTCCTGTTCCTTAAGGAATTTGTACTCCTGCCCCATCCACCAGGAGCCAGCTGACTGCTGTCATGGCCTAGCAGGAGAGACATAATTGTAACCAGGTATTGTAGTATTTGTCTTCATCTCCTCTGTCTGTAGAATGCAGCCCTCAAAATTAACTAGTTCAGTTTAATGAAGTTTACTGAATTAGTTCAAAAATCTCTGAACTACATCTTCAAGTAGTTCCCATAATTGCTGGGTGAAATGAACATTTTGTGGTAGAACTCTAATTTCTATTGAATCTTCAAGTTCATTCTCTTACTTGTTTTTTAAAAAACAAACAAACAAACAAACAAACAAGCAAACAATACATGGCTTAAAAAAAAACCAGTTTAGGCTTTTTCTCCTGAAGTCCTTCTCACGAATGAGTATAACCACAAGGCAGCAGAGGTTTAGAATCACTTTTCCTTCTCTTAGATGGGCTACCTTCTTGACTGTCGGACCCACTGTTGGTGTCATCTGCTCAACCCACCGGAGCCTGTCTTTATGTGCAGGGGAAGTCCCTAAGTCACTGGGGGTTTGAGATCCATCAGCTAACCTCACCTGGCTTAGCCAGCCAGTCAAAATCATTTCCTGGGCTCTGGTGCTGCTGTTGCATGCGGACGGCCTCTAGGGGCCACAGGTGATTGCTGAGTGCATGGTGGGGACCAAAGGTGGACAAACTACCCCAGAAGGAGCAGAACGTGTCCCCCACCAGAGGTACTACCCCTCCCTTACTACCCTGTACACCCCTTTCTTCGTCTTCTTAAGTATATTTTATACTTCAGCACAGCAGCATGTAATGTTCTGAATTCTTGGTGGAGGGTAGGGAGGAAGATGAGTGATTATTTGGATGAACTTGAATTGAACAGTGGACTGAATGTAAAGAAATATGTTTGCTTTCGAAAGGGACAGATGTGAACTGGAACTACGGTAGTTCCTTCTTGGACATGTTGAACTAGTTCATTTTGAAAATGAACATTTCAAGCTCTGGTAGAAGGTAGATTTGGTGATAATTACTGATGGATTGATGGCTGAGGGTAAGAGTACAAAACAGGTAGGAAGCTGTTACCTTTTATAGAATGTATTCATTTGCCATTCCTGGAAGTCATGCATGTGATACAACTTGGACTGTACAAACACACACACACACACACACACACACACACACACACACAGCCCAGATCTGATCTGGGGCCTGATTCAGCAGTTCGGATTGGCTCTGACCACTTGACATTTTCAAGTGTATACAGTTAAAACATTGATGTATATACCTAACACCTCCTTGCAGTATATGAATCAGGTTTGTAAGATCCAGACAAGAAGATCCCGAAGGCTAGACATTGCAGTAGCCATTAATGAAGTGTAGCTGTCCACGGACAGAACTTTCAGCATTCCTATAGTAGCAAAACAACCCTGCGAGCTGTAGCCAAAGGGGAATCTGTTATAAATTACTCTAGTTCTGTTTCTCTCTCAAAAAGCTGTTTATTACATTTGAGCTTCTTGAGCCATTAGGGGATAGGAGCTTGAAAGCCACCGGATTCTGATCTAGCTCAAGGTCAAAATATGCCTTGTGGCTGGTTTTCCTACTTGGGATCCCCAGGGTTTTTGGCAGGTCTGCTTAGCATTTTGTTAAAGGTGGTTCTTGACAGCCTCAGGGATGCTCAGAATTATTCTGTTGATGTTAACCAGCGTGCTGAAGGTGCTTCACTTCCCCCAACATTAACAAATTAGCAAAACAGCAGTGGCACATCCTTACCAGATGGAAAACGACACACAGTAGGAGCACGTTTCCATTGCCAAATGTCACGGTTCCAACCACTTTGCAGGATCTCCTCCTTAGTCTACTCAAACCTGAGCA